AAAGCCGCTATAATAATTGTTAATTGTCCAATGTGAAGCACGGTACAAAATATCAGTCAAAGCAGGAAAAGGTGTTTTCAACATGATTCCTGGTCATGTCCTTGAGAAAAATACTCGAAACCTTTATACGTTTTTTTCCTTCCTCTTCTGAACAGAAAATACGTCCACACGGTCGCTTGTACGGTCGTCTTTGTAGGACCCGCGCATTTTGTGTTCAACGCTTTAATATCAGGGCCGCAACGCTACTTGTCCTCTTTCCAGTTGTTCCAACAAAAACGATGGTCCACGCGGTCGCTTTAACTGTATTTCTACCGTTTCTTGTAAAGGATCTGTTTGTGTAGAAGTTTTAACCAGTTTCCATGGTACGTTCTTCGTTTGAGAAGGACAATTTATCAAGTACACACCCTCCACGTTTAGGCAGCCATTTTTTTCATTTACTGACCCCGCCTCGCTTTGGAGCGCTGAATAGTGATTTGGTTTTTCAAACCCGCTGGTCACGTGACCAAAATGTGATTTTTAAAATTATGAATTACCTCTTTCTGAACACAAATTTTGCGGTTAAACTTCAAGGAAAATGTAGAAAAAATGATGTAGTAACGTTTACAGCACATCTGAGCGAAACTATCAAACGTTTAACAAGATATAAGCAAAAAGTAGTTTTGGCCGCCATGTTGGAGGGCACTAAGAGTATGCCCTCCAACATGGCGGCCAAAACAAATCATACTACTTTGTTGAAAAATCAAAGTTCCATAAAATATCTCCCTTAAATGCTTTTCCTCTCAAATTTCGGGTGTAAGTTAATTTTTATGTGCTCTATCAATTTTTGGCATCAGCAAGATTTCAACTCATTGTTTAAAGGAAGCATTGGTCAAAGCTCTGAGGGCAAGAGTGAAAGAGGAAAGAGGAAGAAACTGAAGACGATTTTCCTGCGGCCCTCTTCACCCGATATGCCAACTAGCCAACCGGCCTCGAGAAAAAGACGGAGATGCTGGTCGGGAAACTAGAATTAAACCTCTAACGTTGACTACGGTTTCACTTGACCCCCAACAAAGGAGGCCATGCTAAACAGACAACTAAATAAAAACTTAAGTGATTTGAACGGCGCTTAACATGTTTACCCAATTCTCTTCAAAACAGTCAAAATAGCTTCGATTAGCAGTTTCTTTTTGCACAACTTTAAGCGAGTGGAGCAGGGGGGATACTTCTTTTTTGTTTCATTACGTTGTTAGTGAGGACTGGTAGCATGCGTTTTGTTTCCTCATCATTCGTGTGCTTAAACCTCTTGTGAATAATGAGTAAAGTGAAGTCTAACGCATTCCGCTCATATCTTTAGCCCAAGACTCAAATCAGTTGAGGGTGTTCATGTGAGGTGGGAGCGAGGAAGATAATGTTTCTGGTCTTAGCTCAGTAAGTGGGAATAAACAGGGTGAGCTAGCGCGAAGAAAGACGCGAACTGTACTTAGATATTTTGCGCCCTATTATTTGCGCCTTTTCCCCACCAAGAAGCCTCGGGTCGCAGGCTGGTTGACTCTGAACTATCGTAGGGTGACAGTCCCAGTATACGTACGGTGATCACTAGTTATACTATTTCAGGGGAGTGTCGTCAAGTGGGGCTGCAGGCGCGTACCCATTAAGGAATTTTTACCCTCCCTTCGACAATCGATAATTGTTAACAGACAATAAACTGAAAATATTTTTTGTAGGCTAAGTGTCATTTAATTTGAATAATGAAAGTAACGAGGTTGGATTGAACTTAAAACAAAAGTTAAATGCGTAAATAACAACTACGTTAACCAAAATTATTATTTAATCAGTATTGTAACTATAGTCGTGACGCATAAAAGGATCATCATGTCTCTATTACCAGCTGTGTTGATAAATGTGGTGATTAAGAGCACTATTAGCTGAATAAATCCCGAATAAATTGCCTTTGTCAAGCGCAGTGACGCAGGAAACCAAGTGCAGGGTGATATAGAAAACAAACAAACAAACAAGAAACGTTTATGGCGAAAAGTAACAACAAAGACTTGCTTTTGTAACTTTTTGTGTTCTAACGTCTAAAAACAGGGGTACAGATTTAAACCTAACACAGAAAAGTAAGACCCATATTTCATCTTAACTTGCAGCCCTCTGTTTCTCGTGATGCCTGAATATTGCGGTACAATTTAATACAGGAACTGAAACTTTACGTGCAAAGCTAAGCGCATACTCTCATGGACGGCGTACAGTTTGTCCTGTATGTTAAGTTCTAAGCTATTTGCACTGACTACTGCAGGATCCAGGATGAGATTTGTCATGATTGCTTTCCTTCGATTCGCAAAATCTTTTTCCTTCGGTGATTCTCTTGCTGGAGAGGCCACTTGAACAATCCTGAAGAGCACTTAAACCAAACATAATTTTTAGTATTATTAGTCAAATAAATGCCAGGCGCAGTCGCATAAAACCTCTTCGAAACTCTTAACCAGTCTTAAATTCCTGATTGGCCAATTCTTTATTGCCACTTCCAGAAACTAAAAAATTCCTTGACTTTTCCCTGACTATTTACTGACCTCTAAATAATTTTCACTGACATTGCATTAGGTAATTAATAATGAAAAACAATCCACGTTTACATTTGCGTCGGCTTTTTTTGCTGACCATCAATATTCCTGTCTTCATCTTCAAACTCTTTACGCTTTTCACGAGATTTTGTGCGCGATAGAATTCCCCGTAGCACTGACTGACTTTGACAATATCATTTATTTTCCCTGACTTTTCCCTGACCGTAGCAACCCTGAATATAAACCTAAAAAAGAGCTGTTGTCAGTCACCAAGTCGAAAACAGCACAAGAGACAAAAACTAGTATGGAAGATACTGCTTTGAATTTATTTTTATAAGCTTGTTATTTGTAAAGGTTCATATACATGAATGCCACAGAAACTTCATGTTATATCATAGAAAGTATATCTTGTTAAAGCAACGAAATAACTGCACTGGCCTTTAAAAGCTTTCGCATAATGGGTGCCCACGTACACTAAAACGAGAAGTGCAGAATTGCAACGCTCTCTTAATGGGTTTTCGAGGTTTACAGAATTTTGGAAAATATGGCCTTTTCCAAACTTCATAATTGCTGCGGGTCGTATTTGATAAGTTCTACAAGATGATGTTAATATTATAGCCGAGAAGAGAAAGTTAAACGAATACAAAGGGAAAAAAAACATAGCTTTAGGTAAGTAAAAAAAATAACAGAATATATGTTGTGTGTGTAAGTCAACAATTATATTAAGCGTATGAATAATTGTTAAATATAGACTGGATTCGAGAGAAACGTGGTATAGTAAAGTGCATTGAAATTTAAATATAGAAAGGCGTCTATTTTAGCCTCAGAAGCTTCAAACCTCACTAAACGTGTCTTCAAAAATATTTCAGAATTTAAAGTATTTACCGTTGAGTAGGTATCTGCTCGTTCACAGTAGCTTTGTCACCTGCTACACAAACATGGCCTGACATTTGGTTTACAGTCTGGTGTAAGTGGAACTCTGAAGAAAGATTCATAAGATTCTTAGTACAAAGAAGTCCTGTCTTAGTATCAAAAAAACGCTCCTCAGCTCCTCTTGCAAGTGATGTAGTTGTCACGTGACTCAAGCCGATTACTGTCCAATGCAAGCACAGAGCAGAAAGTTTCAGACCGCGGTCTCTGTCTGCCATTAGTGAACTTAAGCTTCATGTACACTGCAAACGTGAAACGGCTGCTGTGACCACGTGACCATTTCCTCACCGTTTGTGACGCCTGCTTTTCACAGTTTGCAATTTTTGGCTTGACGGGAACTGTTTTCACGCTCATTAGGATTAGGAAGAACGACCTCTTGTTGATAATCGTGTACATTAGCACTCATCTCACTGGCAATCATCGCCGTTTCATGTCTGCCGTATGGTCTAAACGTGGTACTTAATCTCCCTATTGGCTTTCTACCATTTTATTCAGAAGTTTTTGTATTAAATAAAGGAGTAATAGAACTGGGGGGTTACCTAATTTTTCACATTGAATCCGCCCGTGTTTCTGTAACTGATCAAAAGAACTCAAGGGAAATTTTTCCAAACTAACAGTTTGCGTGGGAGTAGCTGCGTCTTCACTCATAAGCACATCATTCAAACCTTCAAACAAAATTGACAAAGGACAGAGTGAACATTTCATTTACAATGTCTGGTGTAGAAAGACTATAATATGTTTAATAAGCGGGATCGCTTCTCATTTGACTCACGTTGGCCACGCTAATATTGGACGGGTTCGATCCACTTTTGAACGAGGTTTATTGACCAAACCCCCGGCACTGGTGCCTTCGTTAGGTAAGCGAGGTTATCGATCGAAATAAGATTTCACCTCAGCAACAACAGTATAATAGAGGCGCAAGAAGAATATATGTCCACGGGATCAGACAACAAAGCAGTCAAAATATGTGCAATCTTCATGATATTCAAAAATAAGGATTGGTAATAGCATACTGCATCAATATGTTTTTAAATCACTTTTTTAGTTTTATGCCTTAATATAAAGATCATACTCCTTTTTTCACCATTTTCTTAATTTTGCGCCCACCGATCTCTTAAATTTTTAAAGATGCCATATCCTGCCTATATGGTTCCGTAAAGAAAAACTGTTTGTGTCCATCTCCAGGTCCGAGTGGATGGAAAAAAATAATGGATCTCTTATGAGTCCAGCGACAGGCCAAACGTTGGGTGGGAAGCTGGCAGACGTGTGTAGGGAGGGGAGGCTTTTGTCAACGTAGTTACAGAACTGTTCGTTGAATTACTTTAACTAATTTCCCCTAATGCCTGGCCCAGCCGAACAAGGCATCTACTTAACAGTAGCAGTAATAACTGCAGAGCTCTGGTAGTCTCTAAAGACTGGTAAAGGTAATTTTGGCAATACCAAATAGTATATATACACGAGCTGGCCACTGCACAAGACATCAACACCAAGCTGAATACAAAGATCTAGCAATCATAGATTGAACTTTAATTAAGACTTACCGACAAGTTTTACCTCTGGCATACAAGCGCCACCGGCAGAGTAGTCAGCAAAAGTCACAAAGTCTTTGCTGTCCAGAGCTACTGCCTGAGATCCCCATTCGTACAGCAGTCGTAGTCTTACAGTCCTTTCTGATTCCTGCATAGCATCAGTAGAGCACATTGCTAGGTGGCACTGAGACACTTCTGATTGACTCATATCTATTACGTCATCACTCAGTCCCCGTTTGAGGGAAGCTAATGCCTCGAAAAGTTTTTCCTTTTGCATGGCGCAAAGGACAATACGAATTTTTTTCGAATCTTTGTCTTCAGTCTTCATTACAGCGATTTCTTTGAAGTGGTTCATTTCGCTGTCGAAAGCTTCCTTGCCACATGGGTTCAGCGTTATGAGTGATTGGAATGCCCCTTTCTTGCAAATCTGTCCGTCCATGTTCACAAGTGCATTTGCATGAAGTTGGAGCTTACCCTTAGATTCGTTTCTAAAGCTGATCCTCTGAGAGAATGTGTTTGTATGTTTGTCGTACACTACGTTCTCTCGGGAACAGGACAAGGGTGTGTGCGAAAAGTCGGTTAGTTCAAACCTCACTAGCTTTAATGGATCAAACTTGCTGAAATCAATCAGACTCAGTAAAACGTTTGAAAAATCGCGCATGAAAAATTCATCAACGTTCTTGTGAGGGGGCAATAACATGTCTCTTAGACGGCGTGAAAACTGCTTTAATCTCACGTATAACCGAACGTCTCGCCGGCGATGCTGAAAAAACTGCTTTCGCTTTAAAACCTTGAGCATCTTGGGAATTTTCAGTTCTTCACCCCATTTTTTAATCTTCCCGGTGGCTTGTTTGTCATGATTCTTTCGACACAACTCTTCAAGAAGTTTGCACTCCTGGTAGACGAGTTCCTCGACTTTGTTGGTTCTTTCAGCAGCCCTAACATTCGTCAAAAAGTTATTTAGCTTTTCGTGAGAAAGCCCCCATAAGCCATTCTGGGGCACAACCCTCTCACAGTCAACAAAGATTTCCTTGATATTTTGAATTAAGTAAGAAACGATGTCCATAAAAGCTGAAGTCGAAGTCTTTTCAAGTGAAGAATATAGCTCCCTATACTTTCGCGCAATATTTTCAGGTACATGTATCGTTCGATGATTTTCGACGAAGTGGTTGATCAAATATTCTACATGGTTTGCTGAAGAAGCGGCTCTTTTTACGCCTTCAACAGAGCTTTCAATCTCAATGCAACAGTCTTTTAACACAGAAATGAAAAGGTTTCCAACAGTACGGGAGTCTGAATCAGAGATCTTGGTTGCGACTTCTCGTAAGTGCCTTATATGCATCTGGCCTCTGTATGTTACTTTGTAAGCTAGTAAAAAGGAAAGTAAAATAATTGCATGAGGTCGACATTACATGTAATAACAGGTACCCTTGTCACTGATAAGTAATCAGATTCCACTCTAAATTCATTACAGTGTGACCGTCCTGGAATAGCCGAATACCCATAGTGTTATTCCACTGAAATTTTTTCTTGATTGTCTGAGGAAGACATGTGAACCCAGCAAGTGTCTGCTGTTTTTCCTAAAATTGAGCGCTGTAGATAGACCTCAGTGTACATCGCACTTCTAGAACTCAATAATAAAAAGGGAAACTTTCTCTTGTTAGAGTCAAAATAATAATAATCGGCGCCACTCATGAATAAGCATCGCACCCTACTAGCAACAAAGCAGTGCTTATCTAAAAACCTTCATTTTCTCAAGTTAGCCTAAACAGGTTCTTACATAAATAGAAATTAGCACAAATGCAGGCTATATTGGTTCTCACATAGTTTCTCATTTTATGAAGAAAAAAATACATAATTTGTAGCCAATAGTATTTATTGGTATTTAGTTACAAAATCTGCATACCAATTACATTGCACTTGAAGTGATAAGGCACCTATGTCTGCAAGGAAGATCCTGAAAGTTGACTTAGCTCAATCTTATTAGCCTAATTGTATAGATTTTTTTTTTTAGAGATTTTAGAAAATAAGAACCTGTTTCAAATTTTAGGCTAAATAGGTTCTTGTGTTGCTGAAAGTACAAGGTAAAAAAGTATGAATAGTACTGGAAGGTGGATTGACTTACCTTCTTCTAAACTCTCAAGATGTTTTCTGAAAGCATTGAGGTCGTCTATTAAATTATTCGTATTAATACACTGTTCCAAAATTATGTCCAGTTGTCCATCTTCGTCTTTCCAGTATCTGATGATTCGATTCACTGACCCCTCAGGTACCTCAAGTGAAATAGCGATGGGAATTAGATTGAAAATGGCGCCATTTACATCCAGTAAACGCCTCACATAACTTCTCAGATCTATAACGCAAAAATAATGAAAATCCGTGATGTAAGGGCAGGAATCCAATTCTAAACAGGACTTTTTAATATAAATCCCTTTACCCGACTTTTCCGTAAACGTTTTGATCTTATTAACTAACCTTGCCAGGGAGATGACAAAACAACGAACCGTCGTTTTAACCCAAGAGAAAAAAAAAGCCTCTGCATGCAGGGAACCATTCTCCAGGCAAGCGATTTGTAGATGAAATACAAGACTGGGTTGTTATATCGTTCGCACTATTTTCGTTTGACCTTAGAGAATAGTTTCCTTTCGGCAGAGGTGCCGTAGGAAACAAAAGTAACACCAGTTCCTTAAATCAACGTTAGGGTTTGATATTCTATCAAACTGCGACATTAATGCGACCTTCAAAAATGGTGATACTCTAGGAACGACTATGAAATGATTCCCAGGTAAACACGGCATTTAAAACTGACACATTTTTTTATTAATCACACGACTAAGGGATACAATGTTCCGACAACCGAACCTTCGAGGCAAACCACAGGCGAAAGAAGGATAAGAGTTAAGCCCCGTGCAAACGGATGCAACATTGTTTGCTAACAACTCCCAACATTGTCGGGAGTTGTTACGTTCGTTTACACATAGCTAACAGTTTGACCGGTTTCAAACTTAGCGCAACAACTCCCAACAACACGCAACAACATGCAACAGGGTGTGCAAACGGACGCAACATGTAACATCCACTGGCAATGTTGCGTCCGTTTGCACGTAGCATTACAATAAAATGATGCATACATTTATGCCTAGGCAATTTATGACATCATGCTACTTCCGAATCTTCAGCATATTCAGTCATTATCAAACTTGTTATTGGCATGAACAGATAACTTAATTAATGGGAATATTGCCATTGCTACCAATGACCATCGCCACCACATCACATGATAATCCTACAGCAATTAAACTAACCCTTTTCGCTAAAATGCCATTCGCTCGTGTGTCCATAATCTCCTTTTACAGTGATCTTCCCGCAAAGACTTCTGACATCTTTTGTACACTCCAGAGGAAGTCTGACCACTTCACCCGCACCCCACCAAACATCAGAGTGGACATTGAAACAAGTACTTCCTTCTTGACTGTCGGCCAGCTGGTAGTCTTCCCCAAGATGAATATCAACACGAAGATTTTCTTTAAAGTAGATACGCTTTTCTTCATCAAAAGAACTTACATGCAGCTCGGTAAATCCTTCTTCCTTGAGTTGAACTAAAGCAGACGTCTCATCCTCTTTATAGAACTGCTCATGGAAAACTTCTTTGCTCACGAAAAGTAGGGCAAGTTCGTTGTGCGTTGAAGAGAGATCGCTCTTTTTAAACAACACGGATAATATATAATAAAATGCTAACATATTAAGTCGATACACAAGGTCTTTAGAGCGAATCACAGTCCTTCTATACAAAATCACAATGATAGAGAAATGTTGTATTTCAATATTCACCTCTCCACTTGTCTCGTCAATTTCAGCGTTTTGAGTAATATCCTGCCAGATAATCTTTCCATCCCTTTCCTCTGTGCCATGTAAAATGACAACATTTTCACCCTTGAAATGTTTAATATCCAACGTGGTTCCCAGAGTTACACGTACAGGTTTCTTAAAGGAACAGCCATTGGGCTGAAGATTAACGATGGGTGCAACAACCACGACATCATCTTCAAGATCCTTTTGTGAAAGCAGTCCACAGAAATTTGAAGGATCCTCTAATGTCATCGTTACAAACACGGGATTGTCAACAGCTTCAGGAGGGCTAACAAGTTTGACCTCCTTCCCGTCAATTAAACCACTTTCACTGGTAAGGATACCGGAAAAAAGGTTACTGTCTGTTGATGAATACTTGCACTCGTCCTTTCTGGGCAGATCAACTTAAAAATTAAAAAAGTGCTTTCATTATTTAATCAGAAAGTAGAAATTCTGGTTAACCACAATCGAATCCCTCGTTTATTTTAAGAGAGCGGAGCGAGCTTCTTAGGTCACAAAGCGGCCGAGCGAGCGACCAAGTCGCGAGAGATAGGTCCGCGCCATATTAAATCGGACGAAGGACTTTTTGGAAGTCTATTAACTTTAGCGCAGAGCACTTTAAACAACGAAGCATTCACATTCTTTTACCAGAACGTAAACAAATTAAGAAGCAAACACTCGCAAATGAAATTTTGCCCCAGATGTTGATGAAGATCGATGAGATTGTGCGTTACTGACTGAACCATGCAAAAAGTCGTCACAGTCGCTTTTGAGTGATGAAAATTTACTTTCAACAATGAATTGACTAAAATATAAAATGACTTTTTACAAAGTACGATCCCTGACGACGGCAGTACAGTTACGATATTGATCGTATGTGCGGTTCATGCAGTTAAACTTAGAACGGCTTAGGAGCGGGGTAGATCTGCACTCATTTAATACGAAGTTAAAACAAGACAGCATTACACCGTGAGATGCTCTGAGGGGAAGCCTCCTCAGACGAATACTCATGAATACTCTGAGGTTACATACCTTCTTTCATTCCTCCACTTTCTGCAAAGGATGTGCTTGCTTTTGTTTGGTAAAGTTCTTCCAGGAATCCAACTTGTTCTCTGTTGATTGTATAGGACATCTTCTGATTTTCGACGAAAACAAAACCTTGAAAGGTATTGAGGTCAAAAGCAAATGACTTGACGTGATCAAGTAGCCGAATAATTGGAATTTCTGCACTGACTACTTCAGCGTTGGTGCAACGTTGTAAAAACTTCTCAGCTGCCTTTAGTGATGATTCAATAACATTAATTTGATGCTGAATTCCGTTCGTTTTTGCTGCCAGACTTTCAAGAGACTTCTTAGTTCGGCCTTCCACTGTACTGATCATATTTTGCATCTTCCCTTGAATTGTTTTGACCAAGCTATCACCAAACCTTTGAACATCTCTTTTGACAACTTCGCTTTGTTGAATCACTTTAGCGCAGTCTTCATCCAGCAGTTGAGCCACTATGTTCATTTTTGCTTCTAAATTTTGTCTCTGCGTTTCGATTACAGATTTGATCTCAAGTCTTTTGGTTTCGGCTTCTTCTTCGATCAATTTCAAAACATGACCTCCGTGATTCAAAATGACGCAAGTTTGGCAAAGAGCTGTTCCGCATTGTTTACAGTAGTATTTGAGCTCCTCTTTCTGGTGTCCTTGCCTTGAACAAAATACTGGTCGCTTCAATACATCCTCAAAGTCCTTATCTTGGAATTCTCCTACTGCCAAAGCACGGTGCTCCTTGTTCTTTCGCATGAGGTTATGACCGATTAAGCATTCTTCGCAATAAAATGTGCAACACTGGAAACAATACGACGCTTCCGAGCTCCTCTTGTCACAGTTTCCGCATGTTAGTTGAGTGTTCTTGCATTCTTTGATGGCAAGAACATCGATAAAGCTATTGAAATAAAAGCTTGTTGGAAGATCCATAAGATTACCGCTTGCTGGTATTTTGGTTAGCATTTTGCATTCCGGACATTTAATGACGCCTCCGCCTCCGCTCGTCTCGTACCATCTTTCCAAACACTTCAAGCAGAAACTGTGCAGACAGGAGAGTTGTTTAGGATCTGTGAACAATGTCGAACATATCGAACAAGACACTTCTTCGCGAAGATTGTGAAATAGAGTTATGCGATCCATGTTTTCTTCAAAATAACAGAGAAATGACCTTCTGTGTCCCAGAGTCTAGTCTACACTCAACAATCAAGTCTTGCGATGTTTCTATCTTTAACTATTCTCGGAGTCAGACCCTTCGAACCAATCACAGAGCACTAAAATGGTATTAAAGCCTCTGACGCGCCTTTTGTAGTGAAGTGTCAATCATTTAGAAGCAAAAGCCTTTTATATGAAGCACGACAGCGTGAAAACCACAGCTCTGAAAGATGCAAATTACTTTTTAGGGTGCAGAGTGCAGTGAAACAAGGAACCGTGAACTGAATAACTATATCCTTCTGGTTTAATTTCTCTCTGTTGTCGTGCTTGTAATATAATGCAGTTGTTTTGTCTTAACACCCGGGGTTAACAGTGTATTGTTCGAACAACAGTTTGATAAAAAATAAAACACAAACAGCGGTGATAAAAGTTGTGAGTTTTCGCATTTTTATAAACTTGACGTTTCGTATGCTAATGCGAAAACTCACAATGTTTATCACAGCTGTTTGTGTTTTATTTTTGATCAAACTACGATGGCCCTCGAACTACAGTCTTCGGTAACAAACGAGATTTGAAAGAAAAAAATAATAAAAATAGAGGCACATACAAAATAATGTTTACTTGCGTGATCTGATTTAACCTATTTGAGAACCATTATACCAT